AAAAAATTAAAATCTACAAAACAATAAAACATAACAAATAAGTTGGTAATATGAAAATCATAAATAATTAAATAATAAAACCAATAAAGCAAGGCTTATGATAACATATACTAACTAATGGCTTGACTCTCTAATATCTCTAGTGGAGTCAGCAAACTATCATAAAGTTTAGGTTGGAAAAACTTATCCATTAAACACAAAAATTATGGAGTTGCCACCAATCCTTTTTAGCTAGGTGTGATTGGCCACTAATGTGAATCTATTATCTTTAAGATTGTCCTAAGTGTAAACTAAAGGTTCCTAAAAAGAATAGGTTTTAGTCTACATCATTAGAACTAAGGTTCGGGAGTCGGTTACATGCAAGAAAAGTATTAGACCCCTTTAAACTCAAAATTAGTACTATATTAATTATATGTTATCTTGTCTAAGCCTTAATCAAAGATGGTTTTTATGATGCAAATAAATCAATTCCAATCCTTTTATTTATTTACAAAACATGGTGATACAAAAATTCTATAAAAAATATCAAGCAATCATGCAATAAATATTAAATCATACAATGCAAAAATTATTATGCAAATATATTATAAATCATACCAAATATCATGTAATAATATCATGCCTAGATCATGTTAAAATATTCGTGCAAGAATGTTATGTAAATATATTAATTATTATGCAATAATAACAATCATATAACTATATAATATCATGCAAACATATTATCATGCAAATATAAAATACCATACAAATATATTAATAACCATTCATGTAAATATATAATCATGGAATCAGATATAATCATACAAATATATTATGTATAATCATGCAATTATGCACACAATAAATATAGAAACATGTATTTAAATATTAGTCATATATTATATTAATCATGCAATAACATTAATATCATATCATGTAATAACTATAAAATCATGCAATAAACAAATAAATAACTATGCAAATAAATATATTAATAATCATACAATCACACAAATAAATAAATTAATAATCATGCAATTAAATATATAATCATGCAAATAATAATATAAATCATGCAAATAAATAGAAAATTAAATATATAATAATACAAATAATAATATAAATCAATATGCAATAATAAATAAATAAATAACCAGGCAAATAAGTACATTACTAATCATACAATCACACAAATAAATAAATTAATAATCATGCAAATAGACATGCAAGTAAATATAAAATCATGTAATTAACAATGTAAAACATGCAATTAAATATATAATCATACTAATAACAATATAAATCATGCAAATAAACATGCAATTAAATATATAATAATATAAATCATGCAAATAAACATGCAATTAAATATATAATAATCATGTAATCACACAAATAAATAAATTGATAATCATGAAAATATATTAATAAATCACACAAATATATTAATAATGAAAATTAAATATTAAGCAAATAAATTATCATGCAAGTATAATATGAATCATGCAAATATAATATTAGTCATACAAATTCATGCAAAAATAAATACCATGTAATAAATATAAAAATAAGAGTAAGTAATTAAATATTATAAAAGTTATGCAAAAATCACAAAAAAAATAAAAATGAAAACAAACATTACTTCAATGGATCACAGGTTCCAACAATTTTTTACCTTTAAAAAACTAATGCTTCTTACTATAAATCTTAGCATTCCTTTCAAAAACTCTAATTAGATCTTCTTACAAATTTTTTTTGCTTAATTGCTTTTTCCCTTAATGATTCAAAACTTTGCTCAAATTTTCTCTCTTTTTAGTCACCTCTGTTTGATCTTGAAAGCAATTGCTGTGAGGCCCCCCTTTTGATCTTAGATTCAAAGTCCTTATATAGGGATTGAATTCCTTTCGTTTTGAAAGAAATTAATTCAACCGAATCTAGGATTTCTTTTCAAATTTTATTCTCTTTGCAATCTTTTCTTTTTCAATAGATTGAGCCTTAAGTCTTTTCAAAATTATTCAAGCATTAAAGTTGAAATCTAAGATAGAATCCAAGAGTTGAATTAAATCCAGATTTTCCATGCAAAATCCTACATTTTCTTTTTTCTTTTTTATTTTTTACTGCTTTTTTTATTTTTTTTACCAATTGACTTTGACTCTTTTGACTAAAAAAATAAAAATTAAACTAAAAAAAAATTAAAACACAAATAAAATTTAGGGCTTGATCTTTGGGTCCAAAATTCACTTTTTCAATTAAACTCACTTGCACAATCAAAATAAAAAATCAAAACCCAATGAATTTAAAAAAATCCCTAGACAAAATAAAATTTCTACAGTTGATTTAATATTGCATGAATGCTATTCATTACTTCATGTTGATGACTGCATGTGGTTATTTTGTGGGTGTTTTTGTTGAATTCTGTGCATTGTGACTCTGTTTTTAGGCATTGATTATTTACGCAAGAATAGTGGTTGTGCCCAACGATGGATAGAGGGTTAAGTGTTGGCAGTAGGAGTGAAAGTGGGCTTGTGATGGTCAGAGGGTGCTGAGTGTATAGCCGATGGTGTTTGGATAGTGATAACTCTAGGCTAGAAAGCACTATGGCAAGAAGGTTCGATTCAAAGTGGTTTGGGTTTATGGAAATATAATCTTTTATTGCCTTTTTCTAATGTGTCTGTGTATTACAACTGAGTCTTGTTGGTTGAAAGATTGAAATTTTTTGTCTTTACTGGTGAAACTAAGTTTGCTAAACTATGTTGTCTGTGGTCTAAAAGTTTAGGTATATAAGAGATTACAAGATTTGTTTGGTACAAAAAATCATGATAGGATAAGATATGATGATATTATAAATAAGATTTAGTTAAATAATGTCATTATATTTTGTGTTTGATGTGTGCAAATATTATGATAGGATAATTTATTTATTGATCAAAATTATCTTTTTTCAAAATTTATATAATTTAAATTATTGGTATAACTTTTAAGAATATAATAAAACATGAAAGTTCGATCCAATTGATTAAACATAATCCTATTCACTTTCAGAAGATTGAATCATCATATATCAAAAGGATGATCAATCTTCCTTATTATTCTATTCCTTTCTTCATATACAAATCAAACATAATATAAAATTATTATCATTTTATCATATCTATCATTTTATGTATCAAACATGATCTACAAGTATTAGAGAAGTTACCATCATAATCAAGTATTACATCTACATAAGAAATCACAAAATTAAAACATACAAATAAACTAACCAATGATAACTAAATAAATTCAACATAAAATTGGACGAGATACATATTTGGTGGATTTAATTATTTAAAATATAATATGATGACACGATATGAACACGATAAATTAAAACGACATAAAGGTGACATGATTTAAAATTTTAGTAATAACTATATATATGAGTTTAATAACAAATATATTTCATATTTTCATATCGATATGATTTGTGATATATAATTTCATTTAAAACACAATACAAAAATATAAATTTTAATATTTTATATGATATTAACACATGAATTATCAAATCTAAGACTTGATGAGACTTAAATTCAAGATTTCAAAATTTCAAGAACTATTAAGTCATGACCTTATCGACAAAATCTTCAATATTAGTCACTCATCATGTTTAATTTAAATATTTTTTTAAGGAATGTTTAATTTAAATATTAGGGTAAACCTAATGGTCCAAAAGATATTATTATAAATCTAGCAAGGAGGTCTTTTGAAGGCTTTGATGTCACTAAGATTAATTAACCACTTTGGAAACTCTGAGGCCAAATCTAATGGTCGAAACATGAAATTATATCATTCATTTAAATTATTAATTGCTGCCTCAATGATTTTTTTATCTATATATTACACGCAAATATTTAAAAAAATCGTTACTAACAAAGTTTTCTTTGTCACACATAATTTAATTATAAGAAAAGCAATTATTATCGACTGTCATAGATTAGCTGTGACTGATGAAATTAAATTAATAAAAAGAAGAAGATAGAAGAAATAGATCAGAGAATGAGAAGCTAGAAGAAATAGATTAAAGAATTAGAGAGAAACAGAGAGAATAGAATCAAAATTTTGTGATATTTTCATTCATCAATCTCATCATGTTACAACATGTCTTATTTAAACTACTGAAATTCCTCTATTTGCTAATTGCAAAGGTTCAGTAGAATTGCAGTAAATTGACGGTTCATAATTCTTAACTGACTAATTACAATTTTGCCAAGCAAGCTCCTCTAAAAGTCTTGATATCCTTGGATCATTTTTGTCCTTTCCTCGAACCGTCCGGTGTTTATGCATGTGATCATTTCATTTCACAGCTACAACTCCTTTAAGCTCAATTATTTCACAGCCACCTTCACATCCTCCATATAATTCCATTTCTTTTTGTCCCTCAATTTCACTAACCAATGTCATCACATCGACAAATACTTTGGTCGGAAAAAAATGTAAATTCCATAAAAAACTATTTTCGACAGAAATTATTGACGAAATATTTCAATTGTGATTTTGAAGATGTTTATCTATCGGAAACTGTGTTTTTTAGTTGGCATGGTTTAGTATTAGCTACTTCTTTTTTTATTTTATTTTATGAAAGATGCAGAAATAAAAAAAAATTATAAATATTAGGATTTAAAATCCAAACAGATAAATACTATTTTTTAAAAGTGGTTGTATAAATTAATTGGATCAACAAACCTTAAAAGATTTAATAAAAACTTTATGTAGATATATATATATATATATATTAATATTGTATTGTCTGCATAGACCGTTTGAAATATATTTTTCGTCTATGATATATATATATATAAAACAGGGCATATAGATGGATATAATTGGTGTTAATTAGCCATATATATTCTTTAAGAAAAGCAATCTTAATAAAAAATATATAAATAAACAAGATGAAGAGCAAATAACTTCACTAATTAAATCCAAGTTATAGCACACAATGAATTTGAGATGTGCCGAATTTATTTCAAGAGCTAAATCTTTATTGTAAAAAGTGACAATGATTATGCATCCTCTTTCCAAGGGTAACAAATATCATAGTTGGTAGTTTCATAATTAAACATGCAAGGACCATTAGGCCTTACCTTCCACAAGCAACGACTACAAAGAGGTCTATCCCTTTTTTGGTCGTAAATATCGAACCAATGGAAGCCTCCGTTCCATTGCATGCTGCAGTAATACAGGGTGCTGCCCAAGATGATTGGGCGAAACGTGAACTCGTAGTCTTTGTTGGGAGGAAGAACCCAGACGCCTAGGTCATCGTCATATGATTTGCAATGGATGGTGAGGTCTGAGCCTGTGTTCAAATCGTTAGAGATTATTACATGCGCTTTGCGAGGCAAGAAAATTGCTTCGCTTGCGATGAAAAGCAGTGTTAGAGACAGCAAGCAGCTGATCAGCAACAAGTTTTGTGATGAAGGATTCATGTTTTCTGTTGAAGTAAAATACGTGGAGACCTCGACAGAGTCATATATATTTGAGGGCTATCAGCCAAAAATAGTATCCAATAATTTGGTAGTAAAAGCAAATATGGGATCTTTTGTTGGAACCATATGAGGGGTATCTTAATGGCAATTTAATGCTGGTTGACAGGATGTGATTCTTTGCTCAGTAGTGTCATTTAATTTTGAACTTATCTCATTTCAGTTAATTCCCTCTTTTATCATGCATGAATATAATTCAAAGTATTCATATGTCAAGATTCTAGTATAATTTTTTTTATTGGATAGGGGATAATGATAGTGGGGATTGAATTTTCTTTTTCTTTTTTTTTTTGCAATATTTTTATATTTAATAAATATTTTTCAAAGCTTTTTTAAAATATAGGAGCCACTTTATACCATGCCTTTTTTTTTTGCTTTTTTTAAAAAAATTTAAAATTATTTTTTATGAGACCCAATTGATATTAAGGGTATATTATATGTTTGTCTTATTTCTATTTTTTTATTTTTACATATTTGATAAATATTATTTTAAATTTTGAATTCTTTTTGTCTTACTAACTTAAACTCAATATGGGGTGTCAATGTAGCACCCTTATGAGCACTTTTTTTTTTTATTTTCTTATTTTTCACTTTTCTGATCTTGTTCATAACATAAATTTCGGTCATGTATGGTCAACAGTTTGCTCATATTCGATCAACAGTACATAATTAAAATTTATGCCATGTGGCACCTTTTATATTCTTTTTTGTTCAATTTTTTAAAAATGTTTAGTAAATATTTTTTTATAAATTTTATTTTTTAAATGGAAGCCACTATACACCATACTTTTTTTAAAAATTTTTTTATGATTTTAAATTTATTTTTTATGAGATCTATTTGATATTTAAGGTATGTTTCATGTTTTTTTTCGATTATTTTACATTTTTTATATTTAATCAAAACTTTTATATTTTAGATTCTTTTTTGTCTCACTGATACTGATGGGATGTCATGTGTCGAGCTATTTTCTTCTTTTTAATCTCTTTACTCTTTTTTTATTTACTTTTACTTTTTTTTTAAATCTTATACATTTTTATAATACTTTACCTTAAGACGAATCGATTGGGTATTTTGTCATTTTGTTTTCAAATAATATACCTTGAGACAAGTTGAATTTTTTTAAAAAGAAACAAGCTTGGGTTGAACATATTTATGGTGCTTTATTTTAAGTTATTTTGAGGTATATATAAAAAATATATTTTATTATTTATTTAATTTTATACATGTATGTATTATATTAATAAAACTTTTTACCTTAATTTAATAAATTAATATTTTAAACTTAATCCCTCTATGAGCTTTTTTTCTCATTTTAATTTTTTAACTTTTCCTATTTACCTTTTTCAATGTTTTTAGTATTTATTTTTTATTTGATAAATTTATATAAAAAAATTAGACCAATTAAGATATCCACATATCATTTCCATTTGCTTTTTATCATTCGTTTTTTTTTTTTTAATTAGATCAATTTTGTAAAAAATATATGATGAATACAGATGACAAAATATTTTACTGGCAGCAATGCACGAGTATTTTGTTTAGTATCTATAACTATAATTAAAAATAAACCCCCACCAAAATCACATTAATACCTTTTGAATTGTTTTATAATTTGTTGACACATGGCATTTTATGTCATCCTTATGAAAATTACAAAAATACCCTTCTCTATCTACTTATTACTTCATCTAAATTACTATAATGTCCCTCATACTATAAATAATCAAAATTACTATTCTATCACTTCTGTCATAATTACTAAAATACCATTGCTATCATAATTGACCAAAATTACTGTAATACTTGTCCTAACATAATTATGAAAATACTCATTATACCATAATTGATTAAAATTACTATAATCCTCTTGCCATAACTATGAAGATGCCCTTTTATAAATACATAGTAAAGTTTAACATTTATACAATAATAAAATAATTCCTTTAGAAATGATCATAATTGTCTTTCTAATTACGTGACAATTGAATGATACATGTGTAAATTGATTGTAATGCCCTTTCCATTTATAATCAATTAAAATTACTATAATTGCCCCATCATAATTATTGAAATACCCCTGTTACCATAATTAGCTAAAGTTACTATAATGCCCTCTAAACAAAATTACAAAAAACCCTCTTACTATCATTGAAAAAATTACTATAATGCCCTTCCAACTACATTAAAATTATTGATTTTTTCTTTCAAAAAATTAAGTTGAATGGGTGATAATATTAGTGGGCTTTGATTTCATTAGAAAATATGGTGTGTATAAAGGGACATACCAAATAATCAAATAAATTAATGCACATAAAAAATTAAAATCTACAAAACAAGAAAACACTAACAAATAAGTTCGTAATATGAAAATCACAAATAATTACATAATAAAACCAACAAAGCATGGCTTAAGATAGCATATGATTAACTAATCGCTTGACTCTCTAATGTTTTCAGTGTAGTTGTCAAACTGTCATAAAATCTAGGTTGGGAAAACCTACCCTTTAAACATAAAAACTATGAAGTTACTACAAATCCTTTTTAGCTAGGTACGATTGGTCACCTATGTGAATCTATCATTTTTAAAGTTGTCATAAGTGTAAATTAAGGGTCCCTAAAAAGAATAAATTCTGGTCTATATCATGAAAACTAAAATTCGGAAGTCAGTTACATGCAAGAAAGGTATTAGCACTCTTTTATGCTCAAAATTGGTAGCACATTAATTATATGCTATCTTGCCTAAACCTTAATCAAAGATGATTTTTATCATGCAAATAAATCAATTACAATCCTTTTATTTAATTACAAAACATGGTGATACAAAAATTCTATAAAAAATATCAAGTAATCATGCAATCATGCAATAAATATTAAATCATACCATCCAAAAATTATCATGCAAATATATTATAAATCATACCAAATATCATATAATAATATCATGCTTAGATTATGCTAAAATATTCATGCAAGAATGTCATGCAAATATATTAATTATCATGCAATAATAACAATCATATAAATATATAATATCATGAAAATATAAAATACTATACAAATATATTAATAACCATTCATGCAAATTTATAATCTTGGAATCAAATATAATCATACAAATATAGTATGTGCAATCATGCAATTATGCACACAATAAATATCAAAACATGCAATTAAATATCATTCATATGTAATATTAATCATGCAATAACTATAAAATCATGCAATAATAATAAATAAATAAATAACTATGCAAATAAATATATTAATAATCATACAGTCACGCAAATAAATAAATTAATAATCGTGCAATTAAATATATAATCATATAAATAATAATATAAATTATGCAAATAAACATACAATTAGATATATAATAATACAAATAATAATATAAATCAATCATGCAATAATAATAATAATAAATAAATAATCATGCAAATAGGTATATTAATAATCATACAATCACACAAATAAATAAATTAATAATCATGCAAATAGACATGCAACTAAATATATAATCATACAATTAACAATGTAAAACATGCAATTAAATATATAATTATGCTAATAATAATATAAATCATGCATATAAACATAAATTAAATGTATAATAATACAAATAACAATATAAATCATGCAAATAAATATGCAATTAAATATATAATAGTCATGCAATCACACAAATAAACAAACTGATAATCATGCAAATAAATTGATAATCATGCAAATAAATTAATAATCGTGCAAATATATTAATAAATCACACAAATATATTAACCATGCAAATAAAATATTAAGCAAATAAATTATCATGAAAATATAATATGAATCATACAAATATAATATTAGTCATATAAATTCATGCAAAAATAAATACCATGTAATAAATATAAAAATAAGAGTAAGCAATTAAATATTATAAAAGTTATGCAAATATCACAAAAAAAAATGAAAGTAAACATTACCTCATTGGATCATAGGTTCTAACAATTGTTTACCTTTCGAAAATTGATGCTTCCTACTATAAATCTTAACCTTCCTTTCAAAAACTCCAAGTAAATCTCTTAATTTCAAGATAGAAATTTTTTGTATTTACTGGTGAAACTGGGTTTGCTAAACTATGTTGTTTATGGTCTAAAAATTTAGGTATATAAGAGATTATAGGATTTTTTTGGTACATAAAATTGTGATAGAATAAGATAAGATGATATTATAAATAAGATTAAATTAAATAATGTCATCCTATCATGTGTTTGATGTATGTAAATATTAAGATATGATAATTTATTTATTAGTCAAAATTATCCTTCCTCATAGTTTTTTATAATTTAAATTATTGATATAATATTTAAGGATATAATAGGACATATAAATTCGATCCTATTGATTAAAAATAATCCTCTCCATTTTGGGAGGATTGAATTATCATATACCAAAAAGATGATTAATTTTCTTTACAATCCTATCTCTTTCTTTAGATATAAATTAAATATAACATAAAATGATTATCAGTCTATCCTATCCATCGTCCTATGTATCAAACATGACGTATAAGTATTAGAGAAGTTTTCATCATAATTAAGTATTCCATCTACAAAAGAAATCACAAAATTAAATCATACAAATAAACTAACCAACGATAACTAAACAAATTCAACGTAAAATTGGACTAAATACATATTTGATAGATTTGATAGTCTAAAACATGATATGATGACATGATATAAACACGATAAATAAAAAAGACAGAAATGTGATATGGTTTAAAATTTTAGTAATGACTATATATATGGATTTGACAAAAAAAAAATGTCATATTTTAAAATTTTAGTAATGACTATATATATGGATTTGATAAAAAAAATTTCATATTTTCGTGTCGATATGAATTATTATATGCAATTTTTACGTAAAACATTATATGAATACATAAATTTTAATATTTTATACGA